GTATCTTCATCTTCCCCGCTTCACATAGCTTTCGAATCTCAATCAAACCGTCTAAGTCAGCCCTCATGAATACCCATGAGTATTCTGTATCACAAGGAAAGAGAGGATTAGGTTTCACATTTTTTATAAGAAAAACTCAATACACAGACAATTTCTACCTATTTCATTAACGAATCGGTATTCAAGCTGTTTTTTCAAGAAAAAAACTGTAGCTGCGGGAAGCCCAAGAGCCAGACCAAAGCTATCAGACAATGATGCTGCTTCACCCTTCAAAATAAGAGAAAAAGAACGATTAAAGCACATAAGTCGCTTACTAAGAAAAATCTCTAACAGGTGATTCTGGCAATTGACCAAGAGGACATAAGGAGAGTGTCGGATATGAAAAATGTGATAAACTTTAACGTCTTACCTGAAGTGTCATATAATGTCCACCTTTTTTCAGAAAATTAATGCTCATATGTTCTGTCTCTGGCTCACCAATTGTGTCCAAGACAGCGTCAAACTTTCCCTTTATAGCCAATTCAAAACCCTGCTAATCAAGAATGAGTTAAGTCATAAAGTATAATGCTAGATGCACTTCCATGAAAAAAACATAAGCTTAAAGATCAAATTATTTGTGTATTATGATCATATATCTGAACTTTCAGTTTTTAGTTGGTTAGACTTGTTTGAGTCAGGTAAGTTAGTTAAAGTGTTTGTTTAGCTAGTTCAAGTGTTTGTTATCAGACTGTGTTTTTGAAAACCCATGGAGTCTACTATGGTGCTTTTGAATAACATTGTTTGTCATTATAATATCTAAACTAATGTTTGGAAATATGATACAAAAGAAAATTTAAAACGACCTCAGAAAGATAATCAACAGCTTGCTCAGCACCGGCTGCTAACATTCGTTCAACGCTTAGAGGTCCACAAGTAGTTGTGACCGAGCAACCAGCAGCTACTGCAATCTGAATAGCAGTAAACCCTACAGCTCCTCCACCTCCCACTACTAATATCCTTTGCCTGTTTGAGATAAGATGAGAGTAAAAAGTGAGTGAATGAAGAGAATTTTTATCGAAGCTAAACATTAAGTGGGTGATAAAAACACCCCAAAAAATGAAAACTCGAAATGTATAGAAAATGATGATACATAAGAGAGAAAAAAATCATTTTCAAAGATGGAAATCAGATATCAGCAACATAAACATACCCTTCAGTTATTCTAGCAGTGCCACTCAGAGCACGCCAAGCTGTCAGTGCAGCAAAAGGAATGGCACTTGCTTCCTACAAGATGAAAAATTAAGAAAAAGCATGCCTTCATCCAAAGTAATTAAAGGAGGGAAATTCATGGTCGATTGCTCAATTAGAAAGCACTAATAATATTGTACAGTAACATGTAATTATGGCAGTGATGGTAAAACCAATGAATTGGACATAACTAGTCAAAGATTTCTGCTATCTCTCTCACATTTTAAGAGTCAATCGATTGAACAAGAAATTAGCACAACAACGAAAAATAATTACAATATGAAGTTGAAGAATATTCTATAACACATGCAGGTCGAAATCATTTTACTCCACAAAACATAACAACCACTAGTCCAGTAGGAAGTTGCTTGACACAATATGATAATCTCTCTTAAAATAACATATGCAAGCTTATTCATTAGTACTTATTTTGATAAGCATTTATCCTTTAATCTGCAAATAAGCTGTTTACCCAAACAGACCCCTAAACTCCATCCAAATCAAGCTTAGTCAAGAAGCACTTATAGAAAAATAAATATCAAAAGAATGTTGCAATAATTCAAGGTTTTTTCGTCAAAAAATCTCACGAGCTCTGTCATTTAACTTCTCTACAAACAAACAACAACTTTTCTATAATTAAAGAACTAGAAACATGGTTTATTCAAGAAACTACTATAAGCTAGGAATCTCATCCAAACTGAACCTTAGCTAAGTTCTCAGCTTATAACAAGAATCTTGCAAGTTCATCAATGCTGGAAATGGTAATTTCAAGTCATATACAAAAGCATTACTCGTAACATGATAATTTCTAGAACCATATTGAATACCAAGAAAGGAAAAAATAAGAACATTCCAAATTTTGAAGAACACATACCACATGAGAAAGTGAATGAGGTTTTACAGTAACCTCATCTTGAGAAAGAATCGCATAGTCAGCATAAGTCCCTCTAATAGCAGTTGGATGCAAAGCCCCAAACACCTGTTGTCCAACACGGACCGAGTTCACCGAATCGCCAACCGCCGCCACCTCGCCGCTAACATCACGGCCCAAAATCAAAGGCAGAAGCGGCTCAAAGATCGAACGGCCGTAACCAGCACGCATCTGCAAAAGCAAAAGAGTGTTAAATAAATTAACAGAGAGGAATTATGCAAGAATGAGAGAAACTGACTCGAGTGTCTAGAGGATTGACGGAAACGGCGCGAGAGCGGACGAGGACTTCGTGAGGTTTGAGAAGAGGGACTTCGACGTCGGGTTGAATGTGGAGGTTGTGAGTTCCACCGAAAGCGGTGAGGAGAACGGCTCTGCAGGTGGAGACGTGGCGGGAATTGGAGGAGTGATGTGTGATGAGGTTTTGGAAGCGGTGGTTGATCGGAATTCGCATCTTGTTAGGTTGGTGGGTTTCTTGTGAATTGGAGTGTTCAAGAGTGAGTGTGAGAAAGAGAGAGAAGAGACGTGTATGTGTTTTGATCCGCAGAAAGCGAGAAAATGAAAGACTTGTTGTAGTGGTGGCTTCGTTTAAACGTTTTTTTTTTAATTTAATGGCGCTTTTTGGTTGTTGCAACTATCTATTGCTCCTTATTGTTGAAAAATCAGGTACAAAATTACATAATTTTTTTAATAATTTTTTGGTTGTTGTTACTATCTAGAGCTTGACTGTACGGAGATTTCCCAACCCCTTATCAAATGTTTTCTATCCTTTTCTCCGAGAAATAACTTGTTAAATTGTTCCATCATGACTATTGGAACATGGTTGAACTAACTGATGCTAAATTTTTTTAGTAGGATTACTACTCAACATTCTTTCCTTTTTTTGGAGAACTTTTCTCGCCAATTGGTTTCACCTTATCCATGATCCCAATGGGTTGACTTCCTTGATTCCATAATTAGGTTTAGCTGGATTTTTTTTCCTTGATTCCATAATTAGATTTAGTTGGATTTTTACATTGTTCTTCATTGTGTCTCATAAGGCCACATTTGAAATAGAGCATAAGTAATTATTCATATGTGAAATCCACTCATGTGACACCATTAACTTTGCTGCCAATATACATACCTGGTTTGATGAGGGTATGAATATTGTTTTTGAATTTCACCTTGATTACGGTAGTTTTAGTTTTAGTTTTTGTAATTTTTAATTTAAATAAAATAAAACGTGTAAACGTTCTCATAAATTTTTATTTTTAACCAAATACATGAATAAGAATATTATTCCTAGAAATAATAATCCTAAAAATACAATTCCAAGGAATGTTATTTCATCAAATAATCATGCTCTAAAGGATCTTGATATTTTTTAGGGTTGTGACTTTTGTGATAGCTATGTTGAATGAGCTCTTTTATTGGTTGTTGGATAACAGGTTCTGAAAGTAAGAAATATTATTCTTTTTCATGCTTAACTCATGGTTGGTATCATAACTTGTGTCAATATACTCACCTAATTATGTTAGAATGCGATGAAGATTCAGTTTAGGATATTATTTTTATATTTTTCCATGGTTCAGAGGGGGATGAAACAGGAAAGGAAAAAAATACAGGGAAGACTAGGCACAATTGAAGAAGGTGGAACACCTACAAAAGGGAGCACACACAAAGTGAAAGAGAGGGATAACATTGTTATACCCTAATTTTTGTGATTAAGATCCCTCATCACGTCATATTATCACAATGCATCAAGTTCACACATTAGGATTGATTATCACTTCTACTGTCTCTTATCTTTAAGTTCCTCTTTGGGAGATCACCAAGCACCCTAATTTTGTATTGTTGTATATATGTGTTTTATCTTTTTAAAGACCTCTAACAAAAATCCAAAAATATGTCTTGTTTATTTTTGTTTCTTTTAGAAGACAGGGTTTCCGATCAAGAAGTTCATGCGATGGTTCTTAATTAAGGTTGTGAGTTGTTCAGGCCAAATGCTAGTTCTCAAAGGTCTATTTTTCATATTTGTTATCTATAATCTTAGGTCACACTATCCTCAAGTTTCATTAAGTATGGTTAAGACGAGTTTGGTTGCTTAATTCTCAAGACTCTTCGAGATAGGTTCATGTGTTTATTTTCATATCTTCTTCGACGAGTAATCTTAAGTTCTGACTTATTTTATGTCATGAGTGCTTCTTTAAAACATTGAGTTCTTGTGTTGAGTTTATCGGTCGTTAAGTCAAAGCATTTCTTGTTAATGGATTAAGATCTCACCGACTTTTCAAGTGAAATTTGTCATTTCTTGAATTTATGACTTAATTGAAGTTTGGTTCATGATTGTGAAGTGTTTCTCTCAAGTTCGATTAAGAGGAATTTATGTCCATTATTTGTTTTATACTCAAAGTTAAGTTGACAACTTAATCGCATTCTTTCCTTCTCATGAATCAATTCAAGTGTGTGAAATTGAAAGATTCATATTACTTGAATTTAAGGCATTCTTATAGTGTCAATTTTCGAAATTCATAAAGGTTGTATGAAATTCTCATTCAAGACCTAACTCATTGGTTCATCAAAGATATATCCAGCAAAGTTCAAAATGTTCAAATCAATTTCATCTAAGATATATCAAAATTCAAGCTTACATGAAATTCACCACAAGGCATGGATTAATTCAAGTCCAAGTCTCAAATTCAAGAAATGTATCCTTTGCCTAAATTTCTAAGTATTTCATCAATTCTTGCAAGAATTCAAGGTACAAAATCATGTCATTACAAGTTCAAAATTTTAAAAAGAAATGCAATGAGGAATTCAAAGAAGATTTGATACCAAGTTATCCAAAACTCAAGAGAATGCAATGTTACAACAACTCAAGTTTTACCTAAGCTTAATTTCAAATACATCATCAAAACTTCAAAGTTTCAAAGAAATTCAAAAAGATATACAAGATATTCGAGTTTCTAGATTCACTTCAAGAACTACATTTCAAAGTTCTATGCCTAACATTCTTCGGATGTTACAAAGTTTTGATTCCTTAAGCTTTCTGATATCAACCATGCCAAACATCTCCATCTTTCCTCTAGGCCACGGCTTCCTCATTGTTTCTTTAAGAGTTCTTCAAACTTCATAGCCACAATTCTTACAATCTTTTCCAAGCCAAACAACATTGCTCGTGAAAGAAAAAAAAAACAAAGAAATGGAAAGAGTATTTATTTAGCACACATTTGTATCACATTTCCAACAAAAACAAGTTATAACAACACTTTGAGTTCACTAAAGTTCAACAATTATCAAAAACTCAATCTAACCATTATCAAGTTTCACTCCAATATTTACAAACAAGATTCATGACAAGAACTCAGATTTTCCAGGGCCCAGTTCAACAATTAACTTGTTCAAGTATTCATACAATTCAGGCACATTTAACATGAGAATTAGCATAAAAACATTGCAAAACAAGTGGAAGTTTGGACTAAAAAAGGCATTTTCGGATTAGGATGCTATTGCATTTTTTGAACAAAACTTTCAACCAAAAACATGAATCCAATTCATTCACACTAAGCCCAAATTTCAAACCAAGTTTATCCTACACAAACCCTAAGATTTATAAGCTGTAAAAGCATTGATTTCACACTGATTTGGGACCTTTTTCAGACACAGACTGACTGTACAGAAAACTCAACAAAAAAAAACAAAGGAAAAAGAATAACTCGCCTCGTCGGAAACTGAGCCCCTCCGTTGGAAAATCCCTTTTCTGATCGGAAAACCTTAAGCCTTAACCGAGATCGCAACCACCATCCATCCCCTGAGCCGCCGGAAAACCTTGACCGGAGTCGTTCACCTCCATTTTCCACTCTTTATTCGCTACTGAAGGTTGATAGTTCTTCCCTAACATCAAATCCTTCATCATTTTTGCAATTGTTGTCGTTGCTTTGAACAAAATTTATGAAACTCTTTTTCATATCTATGAAAATTTGTCGTTGATTTTCAAAAATTATTTTCAAAATTGAGACGAGGAGAAGGAGACGAATAGAAGAATTTCAAAAAAATTCAATTTCGTTCTTGTCGCGGCGGCGCTGCCGTGAGCTCCGCCGAAGCACCGCTGCGACTCTCCTTCTCTCGGCCGCATCTCTACTTCTTTCATTATATTTATTTTTCTGTTTTGAGATATGATGATGATTTATATTGATGAGAGAGAGAGAGAAGATTGTTATCTTAGTTCTCTTTGAAACAAATAATAAAAGAGAGATGAAAAGTTAATGATGTTAGATGATTCACGATGACAGCAAATATTTCTTTGTCTTTTCCTTTCCATCCTCGAGATCTGCATCGGTCAGTCAGTGGGTGACAAGTGGTCACACTTGAGAAGATGATAAAATTTGATTCTCTGCACGCAAATTTTTTTTATTATTGTGTATCTGCATTCTGGGTCACTAGATTTGCATGCTTTTGTCAGTTGACTATATCTGATGGTACACAATTATTCTGCTTTAATTTCTTTTCTTTTAATTCATTTTTACTTCTAAAATTCATAATAAATTCAATTCTTATCGTTAGGAGGTTTTGGTCTTATCAATCCTCCAACAAGTCCTCAATAACTTTGGCTTAAGTTCAATCTTTAATCATCATTGAACATTTATCATGGAGTTAATGTCTTCTTCCTCCCTCTTTCTTTTATTGCTTTTCTTTTTTATCAATTTGGATAAGGCATTTGAACTTTATATTCATCTAAGCTTATGGATAGTTGAAAAATTATCTTCCACGGCCTAAGTCTTGATCTCCCTTATTTTACTTGTGCTACATGTTTTAGGAATATGGTTTCTATCATATCTCTAACATGTAAGGTACATAGATTGTTATTGACCGGCCTCGTATAATATCAACTTCTACATAAGTCTGTCTGCGATTGCTTAACATAGCGTTACATTGATCCTGAATCGGAAACTAACATTAACCATTGACTTTACCTTATGCAACTTTAATTTCCTCACTTTATTTACCATTTTTACTTTATGTCTTTTACTTTTAGCATTTACATTTCATATTACATGTTTATGATTCCGCATGTTTCTCTTTGTCCACTTGGACGTATGTTTATGTTTACGCACTTTTTCCGTTGTCCATTTGGACCTTTATTTTGGACTTTAATTTGTTAATAAGATAATTAAGACTCATCATAGATTATTGGTTACTATCCCTGGCATGTTGAAATTGTGAATTTCTCGAACTTTGATACTTGGAGACCTTGGTACCCTGTTATGCTGTCTGAAGTCCTTGGAGTTTATTCCAAGACATTGGATTGAATTTTTTGTGTGTAGGTTATTCTGATTTCTATGCTTTATCTGTGATTGGGAATTCCTCTATATACAGCCGTTATTCTGCCTAATTTTTTGAAGACTTTGTCTAATTCTTATTTTTTATCGGAGACACAAGTTCATCTGAGGCTTATTTATATATGAGGCGCAAGTTCATTTGAGGCTTGATTTTATTATGCTTGCTCGGTTTTCAATCTGAAGGATGGGAATTCTATGTTGACTTCTTTATGTCAAGCGTTGGCTTCTTGTTGGTTAGATTGTCCCTTACCTTAGCTTTTACTTTGTGTATATAGGATAGTCTCTTCATCTCCTTCCATTTTCTTTAATTTTTAAACCTCATTTTCAAAACTCTTTTCGTTTTTCAAACTTGAACCGCTTTCATAATAAACTTGGACTTTGATCCATGCATTTTAATAATTTTTTTCCTTAATTAAACTCTTAATCAATTTAATCATACTTTGACATCTTTTTCAAAACTAAAAATCATTTAACCTCATCCAAACTCTTTTGACACTTTGACTTTTTATCTTAAAACTTTTCTCAAAAAATTATACTTTTGTTGATTCTTGTAGTGATGCAAGATGTTATACTTCTACGATATGTAGTGAAGTGAGCCATTTTTCACTTGGGTGTTGAGTGATGTCTTGTTGATTTTAAATCCAAGACTATGTCCTTCACTCGAATACGACAAGACGTCTCTTCTTTTAAAATTAACCAACACACAAACTTTTCAAAATTTGAGAACTACAAGCACTCTGATCCTCTATTGCGTGAAGTGGGTATGTAGACACAAAAGATTCGCAACTGCGGCGGGTGCAAAAATTATAAAAAATATTTCTTTTCTCATCTCCACCATCTGTTTTGTACATATTTTTTTATAGCAAAAATACACAAATTTTCAAAGAGGTTCATGCAAAGTATCGTAAATTTTTAAATTATTAATACATTTCATTTGCATAACCAACCCACATGCTTTGATATATATTTTACTTTAAGTTTTATTCGCTCTTTTCCTAATCCTTTGAATAAAATAAAAATATGGTGACAACTTTATTGATTTTTGTAAGATAAGTCAATCCAATGACTTAGTCTCAACATTTCTACCGCTACAGACACTAAATCCAAATATTGGGAAAGATCGGAAGGCTTCAAAGAGGAGAAAGGAATGAGAGTAGCTAGAAGAAAGGAAAGGAAGGGAATTGGAATCTTGGATGATTCTGTTTAGCCACATATCATATGGGTGGGGTATTAAAAAATAAATAAAAAACTGGAACTTATACATTCATCTTCACTACAAGACGCATCTTGAAAAAAAAAAAATATAATCTAATACTCAAACTACTAACATGGATTACATTGATCTTTCTCAATGACTAGTTTATGGTGTTTACAGTGATCAAAATGATCTTCTCAATGACTAGTTTATAAGTGAACCCATCATGCAAATACAAAACTGATCTTATACTAACTCTCAAAACTATTTTTTCCCACCAACTAACTTGAGTTTTGATTCAATCTAAGCAAATACAATAAATAAACATTGAAGAAGAGGGTCCCTGACAATAATGTTTTTGAATAAATGGAAGCCAATGCTATGATACAATTCCAGCATGGCTGGCATTTGAAGAAACATATCTTCATTATTTTGCCTCTTTATTCTTCTTCCTTTTCTTTTGCTTTCGAAAGTTGCCTTTTACGCTCTTCTCCCATTCTTTTCTATTTCTTTGGTAAAGCATCATAGCAGCGCGGGCGTCATCTACCTGAAACAACATGGATTTGTTAGATTTACAGTTTCAGCTGTGTTTTTCAAGATGACGCATTAATAAATGTGCAACCATGGTGGCTAATTGCTATCAATATCTTACGATATCTGCAAGTTGTATCTTGATTCGATACAAAATTGAAGCCTGCGGTAGCGTGCCTCTTTTTATATCAACTTTGCATTAAAAAACCAAACTCATAGTCGTGGCAACTTCAATTTCTTAAAACTAGTGAATTTCTATCCTCGAAACACAATTGTCATTTATCCAATGTAATTATGGTTATTTGAAGTGATCGCATAAAAGAAGAGGGTATGAAGGAGACTAACCGGGCAGTGCTCTCCTGTTTGAATCTTAGCACCAAGATGTTCGGAAGCTAGATGCCGCAATGCTACTCTACCACTTGACCTGGTTAAACCCAACTGATGGTTTATCAGAACAAATAGCAAGATCATTTGTGGCATAAACAAGTAAAAAAGCAAAACACAAGAAAGACGGAAAGTTGACATTACCTTAGAAACGGTGGGTACTCGGAGGTATCTCTTATATCCTTTTTGGGATGACTTAGTAACAATGCCTGTAAAAGTACAGTGATAGGTTTGCAGATTACAGACGGATCAACTATCCATTTAAATCTATAGAAAAAGAAAGAAAATAAGCCACTAAAATCGACCTTAAGATCATTGGACAAGGCATGGCCTACAAGGATTCTTCCGTGGATCAACTCTGCCACCTTCTTTTGAGCAGTACAAAAATCCTTAGCTACAAATTCATTTAACAATAGGTTTGCTAATCAGCGTACATATGAATCATAAAGCAAGTCATATAAATGATTAGGAAAAATATTGATCCTAGTAGTAATCTTAAGCTATTTCAGCAGCTTTTAAACCTAAATTGAAAGTAAGAATAATTCACTCCAAAACAATGTTTCTCAACTTGAACATTAGATTTAAAACCACCTTATATTTGTTAAAATTTTATGTTGAATGCTTTTAAATCAACTATAATTTAAAATTTCAGAATGTTGACAAAATTGTATTATGTGAACCTTTTCTCAGATCTTGAGGTCTTATGCCACTAATTTTAGTACGGTAGTCAACAACCCGCTCCATTGGTCGTACAAACTCGTCGTAAATAACATTGCCCCACTTGTTTACCTGTGATCAACTGAACTAATGTTAAATATAAATGACTTAACAGGGCAATGTGAGATGAAATGAAAATACTGATGATTATTGCAATACATTATTATGTTAATGTTACAGAAACTTAGAAATTTATATTTAGCATTTGTGTTTACTAAATAAATGCTAAACAAGAATTCTACAATTTAGAATCAAGACCACTTCAATCTATTCAGTAAGACGTAATCACAAGTATTCTTGTAGTGTTGTTTTATTTCTTGTGTTCAACTAAACAGGTTGATCCTGAGGAGTGACACTTTACTACAGAAGTTACAGAGTAATTACTGCATGACCTAATGATAGAATAATTTAAAGTTTTCTTTTTAGTCTCGCCTGGCGAAGAAGCTTGGCTTGCTTGCCAAGCTAGTGCAACGGCGGCATTCTATTATGGCAAATCTCGCCTTCTGAACCCACGAGATTCTGTCAAAATCTCACCTGGCGACGAGACCAAGCCAATGTTGTTGAAGACACCACATATTGCCATATTTCATCTTGTCACGGGACCAGTTTGTCAGGCAAGCCAAGGAAACACTGATTCTTGCTCTATGTTGCCTGGCAACAGTGTCAATTTTCATACAGCACTTGAGGACTTTTGCAAGAATTTCTTAGGGTTCAAACATTTTTGGGATTTGAAGAATACTGCTAGGGCATTTGAAAGGTTAAGAAGTTAAAGATTGAACCTAGGGATTAAGAGTTTGAAGATTCAATTATTACCTATCATGTGTTATATATTTTCTCTGATTGTTATTATGTCTAAATCCATGACTAGCTAAACTTCACGAGTTGTGTTTATGATAGAAACCAGCTGATAAAGGAAATAGGAAAAATCTCTTTGAATTACAGAATAATATTGCAGAACTTCAAATGACTCCTTTCTAGTCAAATTCCAAGATAAACAAAGATCCCCTATCCTCCCCTATTTATTCTTAACATAAACAAGCAGAATTCTCCCCTATTTATTCTAAACATAAACACCCAAAATTAATAAAACGTAACTGCCCCTAATAATATAATGATTGTTCCTAATAATATAATAATAACTACCCAAAATCGGCTTGTTAGGTGGCGGGTGCAAGGATTTTATTCGAGTTTCTTAGAATTTGGGTTGGACCTAATTCATTCCTGCAAAACCAGCTAGTAAGGTGAGGGTTGCCCAAGCTTTATAAACACTACACACACCATATCTCTAAGTAATGTGGGACTAAATTCACCCCTTCAAACCCAACACAATGAAGGTGTTGGAGGCTGCAATGAAGGCAAGCCAAATGCCGCAATGTGAGACTAAATTCACCCTTTCAAACCCCAACATGATGAAGGTGTTGCAATAGAGGCAAGTCAAATGCCGCAATGTGGGACTAAATTCATCCCTTCAAACCCAACACAAAGAAGGTGTTGGAAGCTACAGTGAAGACAAGCCAAATGCCGCAATTAGGCAACTAGGGGCAGCAGACCACAATGAAGACGGAATTTCCAAAAGAGTTGCATAGCTTTTTTTCTGTGAGACCTAAGTTGCCACATGAGATGTAACCATTCTCATTCAACTTTAGTCCAACGGGGGTTGCTTAAATATAGTTTTAATTGGAGCCACAATTGACCCCATTTAACAATTTTAAATTAATATAACAAAAATAAGACCCCAGTCCAAGTTTATAATTTTGCCAATCTTGGCAAATTACACAGTTGAAACATTCTCTGCATATCTACGCGAGTTTTTTTATGAAGCAATATATCAACTTTTATATCTAAATGTGTATCTAAATTTGTATCTTAGAAATCACAAATCACAAATCACAAACTATCCATCTGAGAAAATCTCTCACCAATAAAACAAAGAACATCAACTAACCCCAACCCACCACCAATGCTCCCTCTTCCTGTCATTCTTCCAACATGCAAGCATGGATCTCTCAGATTTATTGTATATAATTTGTTTTTTATGTTTCAAATATGTTTTGTTTTCAATATGTTTTTTCCCCTCATGCTTCTCTGCATTTTTTATCAGATTCAATGTGAACAAATAATTTGGTATAGATAAGCAACCTTCCCTCTCTCGTTCGGAAATTTTCTTTCTTCAAAATATGCATAGACAATAGCAAGACAAAGAGGAACAGATTATTACCAACGACACTCTTGCGAGGGCACTTTTGTTTCCTTGACCAACCCCAACCATTTCACAATCCATAGCCACAGCATCTGTCAAACTGCCAAATGGTTAATAAGTTAAAGTAAAGATGCACTTTAACTTCACAGATTTCAGTTAACAATCACATGTCATATTTCCAATTGATTAAAAAAAAGAAATAATAGATGCAAACAGTGAACCCTTTAACATCACTATATTCACCTTGCATCATCATTTACAGGATCAAGAGGGTTAATCTCACAATCATCAGAATCATCATTTAGCCTCTCTTTACGTTTCCCTGTCAAAACAAATAATTCAAAAAAAAAATTCTCAAACTCCAACACAGTGGAAGCTGCGTGATTCTTATACAGCAAACAAGTAACACCCAGAAGGAAAAATTGAATTTTTTTGCTTACCCAATATTGAATTTGGTGTGTCATCTTCAGAATCATAGGTCCTTGAAGCTTTGGAGCCATTAAGCTTCAGCTTCTGCAAAAGGTCAAAACAGAAATAAATTAGTATAGAAATATGAGAATGTGTTGGTATTGATGAAAAGGAAGAAGAAGGATAGAAGTGAGACTTGTTGGAGTTGAACCCAGTTAGGGTTCATCTGGGTTTGCTTAGGTTTCTTCATGGGTTGGCGGCCACAACGTGCGCGCTGCACAATCAGGGTTCTTGGCTTCCACTGTTTTCAATCGAGTTCGAAGACAATAGAAAAATGTGTTTGTGCTAACGTCGTCGTATTTATCTGAGAATTTTAAAATTTTTCTTTTTTTTATTGATTCAGATTAGGAATCACTATAGTAGGACTAAAATAGTCAAAATGATATTTCAATGGTAGGAATCTATCATTTTAAAATAATACTAGTAAAATTTTGTAGTGTTGGACGGTTTCGTCTAGATTCACGTTATACATATTAATGACTTAATTGTTAAGTATGACACCATGTTTTCAGTTGAATAATATTAATATAGTTATAACTTATAATTATTTATCAAATTTTAATTCATGTGTTTAGAGTATCAAAAATAATATAAATTATTTTACAGTTCATAAATATTCACATGGTTTCAATCATATATTAATAATATATACAACTTTTAAGCATTGATTCGTATTTATAATAAAACATACAATTATTTTTATAACTTCAATTATATAAAATAACAGTAAAAGAAATAGTGAAAAAATAGACATTAAAATGATAAGTCAATAACTCATATCTCATAAATATGTTCACATCTACCTGTCAATTCAGATGAGTTAATTCTAAAAATTTATTAAATTTATTTTAGATATTAGTCCATTTTTCCAAACCTAAAATGTATGACAACTCTCGTCAAATGCTTAAAAGTTTCTAAGTAATAATTACCATTAATAATATATATTATTTTCTACATTTTTATAAAGAGACAAAACTTATTTTTAATGCGGTGATAAAACGTTAGTTTATGTGTACTAATTAAATAAAATGATAATATATAATTATAGAAATGTAAAAAGAATGATAAATTTATCTTTTTCATAACAAATTTATATATTTTTTATTATAAATGTCTCACGTTCTTTTATTATACACAAATATTTATAACATTTTTTTAGTATGAATGATAACGTGTTAACATAAAAAACACTAACATTTTTTGATAAATTAAAATTTTAATATAATTAATTATATTTTAATAGTAGTTTTAATCATAATTAATATATTAATAAAAAAAATTTACACATATTACTAAAATTTTAAAAAATCTTTTTTATATTAATCATGATTCTAAAATGTTTCTTATATGTAATCGTGTTGCAATTTTTCGATACTGTTTTGCCCAGACTATTTTTGTTGTTACGAAATGTTTTTATTTCCTCTAGCTCTAAATGAAATTTATTTGTAAGCATTCTAATCCTAACTAATAATCTATTTCTTTGATTGAAAAATGGAAATTTCCGCTTGAATTTGGAAAATAATTTATTGATACTTGAATGTATTTATTGAATGATGAATGAACAATAATGCAAGCCTTAAGACTCCAATCTTGCATTTGTATTAGAGATCCAAATAAATTTCATGAATTGATCTTCAAAATTGAGTAAATTTGCATCATGAGAAATTAGTGCTTTTGTATATCTTGAATCCAAAAGAAAATTCATATGAATGAATTGCGCCTCGCACACTTCAACCATTTGAAATCAAAAAGAATTATTCGAATTGTTTCTCAAATCTTCTTCTTCTTTAAAACCCACATTGTCAATTTACGGTAACTTGCAATACGAGCCAATAATACAAATCGCGCCTTTAAGAGATTTAATTAACTATCCACCTTAATCCAATAATCGCTAATGTTCACTTGAAAATGACTTGAAGTAAGCGACAAGAAATCAATGAATCATTGAACAAGAACTCTAGTTTCATGAATTACCTCAACATAAGAATCAAACGTCCTTTGAGAAACGTATGTGACATAAATTGAAACAAGCATAATTTGACCTTGATCTTTGAAGTAATCTCATAGACAACACTATTTGGGATACTTCGCAAAAATAATCACCTCGGGACGTTGAGAATTGAAGAAGTTATGAACCACTAAAATTGGACAGGAGTTTCTTGTAATTAGGTCAAATTTGCAAAACGACCTCTAAAGTATTCGAATTTTCTGATGATCTTCCGCACGTAATCAGCTTTTGACTTGTAAAGAGAAATTGGAGATGACATCAAGGAGAGTCATTCGCAAAAAGAACCGCTCAAAAATAGCGAATAATGAAGAAGTTACAATCGTTTGAACTTGATATTTAAAAGGTCAATTTTTGGGTCAACGTAGTTCATTTTCAGTCATCTGAACCATCGACTGAACAAACTTGCAATGCGAGGTTTGAAACTTGGTACGAACATCCTTGAGAATACATGAAGAACCATGAAGACCATTTGAAACTTTGGAAACTCAATTTTGCTTGAGAAATACCAAACCCTAGTTGCTGACTCAATGCCTTGGAAGAGAATCTGTCTGATTAAACCCTAAGCCATTTTGAATGTTTGAGAAACCCTAGGATAACATCTTGAATGAAAAATGGGAGGGAAATTTTGGGGTAAAACAGATGCCCCAGTTCAATCTTCTTAAACCTGAAGAGTTAGATTGGCATGTCTGTCATTCGTGACTCAAAGGTAGAAGATGATTGAACACTAGAGTGCCCAGAAATTTGCACTTGCTTGTGCAAGAAGTAACGCTTTAGATTTATTATATCAGGAATGTGCTTATAGATGCCATTTGGAGAGTGACAGAATATTGTCAGAGATGGGCTTATAGATGCCATCTAGAAGTGGTTGAGAATCGTCGGAGATGGGCTTATAGATGCCATCCAGAAATGATTGTTGATAGAGAAATAAAAGAAGTATCAGGGTAAATCTTTGGTCAATTTGTACCGAAACAGCATATGTATGTATTTGTTTTTGTCTGGATAAGAATCAGAAAAATATTAAGGTCGATTTGACTGAACCAGAGAAAATGTTTACCGGAACAGAATCATGATAAATCCTTGGTCGATTTAAACTGAACCAGCAGAGGTTTTGAAGGAAGCATTTATCGTGTAGATAGTCTCCCCGTCCTGTTTTGGGAATTGATCTACAATCGGTTTGTTGGTAAACCCGCCCTGTTTTGGGAGTTCATACCATTGGTAATAAAGATAGTCGCCCCGTCCTGTTTTGGGAATTGATCTTTATTTGACCAAAGAGAAAGAAAGATAGTTTCCCTATCTTGTTTCGGGAGTTAATCTTCAATCTGCTCATGTAGATGGTTGTCCTGTCTTGTTTCAGGTATTAATCTACAATCAGTTGTTCACAAATAGTTGTCCTGTCTTATTTCAGGTATTAATCCAGAACCCGCTTTTTATTGGTCGTAGAATAGTTGCCCTAGCTTGTTTCAAGAATTAATCTTTGACCTATTTGAGAAATGTTAGTGGTATTTTCCTGTTGATAACATAAGAGGTCTTTTGTTTGCTTGTCTTTAACTAGAAGAAGTACATCTAACCAGAAGAGGTCTTTGATTATCCTATCATTAACTAGAAGAAGTGAATCTATCCAGAAGAGGATTGTTGATTGCCTATTAATAACTAAAAGAGGTGAATCTATCCAGAAGAGGACTTTTGGTTAGTCGCATGCAGATGTATGCATGGCATAATGATGTTCTCAAAATAAATGAGATTGTGTTGTATGCATTTATCATGTATGTAATATTATGTATGAATGTGAAATATTGTTGAAATGTATCTTTGTCTTGGAAAATAAATCCTTGACAAATGTTAGGGAGTCTTTAAATCCCGGACTGATATTGAAGAGTATGTGTGTTTTCAAACTTTGTTTAGGGTGTTTCCACCGGGGATTCCCGTTTTGTTGTAAAGAACTCTGCTGGGGAAGATTGGCTTTGGCTTGAGAAAACTCTGTGGAGAGTGTTGATTTCTGCTTGGGAACTAGAATTCAGAAATTTTGGTTGTCCATTGCTCTACTGGGGATTTGAAAGTTAAATGTTATCTGGTTAAAATCCAGGCTTGGCAGTAACTTGCTAAGGATAATAAAGCTAATTGTTATTTAGTCAGAATCCAGGATTTGCAGCAACTCACTTGGGATAGTGGCGAACTCTACTAAGGAAGAGGAGTTTTGTTAGTGATTTGAAGAAGTTAAACTATTATCTAGTCGGGTCCAAGTTTCTTAATAACTCGAACAGTTATCTGGTCGGGTCCAGGTTTTAGCAACTCGAACTGTTACCTGGTCGGGTCCAGGTTTCAGCAATTTGATCTTGTGGTTAACTGGTATAAGGTCGGTTCCAGGTTTCAGCAACTCGAACTGTTATCTGGTCGGGTCCATGATTTAAAGTAAATTGAATCAACTGTCCGCTGGTCGGGTCCAGGCTTTACAGTAAATTGAATCAACTGTTATCTGGTCGGGTCCAGGTTTCGCAGTAATTAGTTTGGATGGGATGAAGTTGAACTAGTATCTGGTCGGGTCAAGGCTTCGTAGTAACTTGTTTTGAAGAGAAAGGAGTCAACTGCTATCTTGTCGGATTCCAGGCTTCACAGCAACTTCGGGGAGAGTAACGACTCTGTTAGGGATTGTAATAACTTTGTCGGGGATTAAGGGGTTTCGTCCATTGATTTGTAATAGTTTGAGAAGAAAACTCAAGTTGGGGAATTTGCATTTTGTTGGGGAAATAAACCTTGTTGAAGAGAAAATTTCGACGACTTGTTGGAGAGGTGTTTTCTTTGGGAAGAACTCCACGGGATTTCTTTTTAGACCAACTTAGCTAGGGAGAGTTTTTTCAAAAGATTGAAACTCTGGCTGGGGATTGCATGAATCCAAGTATGTGGAGATAATTATTGAAGTAACTCTGTGGGGATATCCCAAGCTTCTTAAGTAAATACCTATTACTGTTTTCAGGCACACTTTTGTTAACAATTAATCATGTTCATATGCATATGTTCATTCAATTTTAGCCATTGGACACTTTTACACTTAAAACAGAAAAAGCAAAAAGTTTTGCACTTAAAAATATATTTGTATTGATACTTTGCCCAAAAATAGGCATTGTACAAGGAGACATAAATCCTAGTAAGAGGAAATCGTCGAAAGAATGAAAATGGTAAAAAGT